ACTACCTACTACCTACTACCTACTACCTACTACCTACTACCTACTACTTACTACTACTTCTACTACTACTACTACTACTACTACTACTACTACTACTACTACTACTACTACTACCTACTACTACCACTACTACTACTGCTACTCCTACTGCTACTACTACTGCTACTACTACTACTACTACTACTACTACTACTACTAGGGAGTTAGTTTCATTTTCGACCAAGCTCCCCAGGCTCCCAGGGACGCCGACAGCGCGGTGCGCCGACAGCGCAGGCCCCGAGTTGGAAGATCCGGTGCCGGCGACGCCCATGTCCAGCCTCCCAACTACGCTGGGGCGCCTGGGGGAGAAGGGACGAAGAGATGAGGAAATGGATGTAAATGGTGTTTATACATACATATATATATTCAAGACGCTCAGCCGCCCACACAGTGCACGAACAGCCGAAGTTAGTGAAGTGGAAGTAGCCATCTAGGCGCCACGTTGGCTGTTTTACAGCTGCGTTGGAGCCATTTTGGGGCCAACTTCGTCTACCTTGGGGCCCATAATGGTGATATAACTTCGGCCTTGCCAAAAACCATCCCAAAATACACCTCCAAAACGCTCTCCCCTGTGGCCCTGCAACCGAGCAAGAATCAACGCAGAAACCACCCCAAAACACAAAAACTCCTCCAAAAACGCTCTCCCTAGTGGCCCTGCAAGCACGACGTAACGAAAAATCCTCCAAACATGTACCTCCAAAGCGCTCTCCCGAGTGGCCCTGCAGCCCAACCATAGCCGTGCACGCGCGAAAAAGAAGGCCCCCCCGTAGCAGAGCTATTTGCATAGGCGGCAGAGCTCAAGAGCCCCAATAGCACGCCCGGCACCGACAAGCGGTGTGGGCGGACTTGTACAAGAGATTTGAAACGTACTTTGCTCCAGGTTGGTTGAGGTGACTTGATGGGTGATGTTGTGTTTTTGAGTGATCACTGTAGTTGGTGGATGACACGCTGATGTTTGCAAGGCTGATGTTTTGCTTGCTCTCATACACAGGCCCCCCGTGTTGTGGGGACCCTATCCGCGATCCGCTCCCCAGGCCTGCTATGGGCCCCTCCGTTCCAGTCGGGGCCACGGAAGGACTAAGATGAAGATGGAAAGAAACGCAGGCTTTGAGGTTTAAGTCTCATCTTCGTGGCATGAAACTGCCATGTTTTAACTTTCTCATGTTGACTTGATAAGCCCCGAGGTCCAGTTTCCCACATACAATGGATTCTCTACAATGTGCCGACAGCGATGAGAGTAGATGGTGAGTTGATGCGGAGGCACTGGTCATGAAGTCAGGACTAGTCCTGGACCGACGCCCCAGCCCCTAGTTTCATCTCGAAGCCCGCTTCGGGTCCGAGGCATCTCCAAGCTTGTCGTCCAAGTCTGGACGCTCTGAGGCCAGGTTCAGACTTGTCAACTGATAGACCGGTGGATGGAGCGCGGCTGGGCCCCAGAACCACACTATCCTTTGAGACGTTTGGTGATGAGAGCTGAGCTGCATGAGATCACTCTCACACTCCACAGAGCACTGACTCTTCTCGCTCGCGGGTGAGTCCGGCTTCAGGTCAGTGGGATTGTTAGGGTGAGTCCGACAGGGAAACCGCACTGATCTCCACACGCCGCGAAGAATAACACCTTCTTTTACAGGCGTTTTTCGGAGGCAGAAGAAGACTCCTACACTCCGACTCACATGGAAGTGGAAAACCCTCCAAGGGCTCATGCCATCATCCAATTCCATGTGATCTGTTTGTCAGAGTGTACACATTTTGTGCTAGTAGGTTGGAGGCCATCGCAATCAGGTTGGAGGCCATCGCAATCAGGTTGGAAGCCATCGCAATTAGGTTGGAAGCCATCGCAATTAGGTTGGAGGCCATCGCTGGATGGAATTCGCTTCATAAACCTCCGCAGGGGGTGCCGGCTCATCGGCCGCTGTTGGTGCCAGACCTGGAAGGCACCTGTTGGGGGACAGTGAAAGGGGGACTTGAGGGATGTTTGTGGCTCTGGTAGACAACATGGGTGGTGTGTAGCTCAAATAGTGAGACATCCCAGTGCAGCTCCGTCGAAGAAAGACACCAGTCTGACCAGCCAGGGCGAGGTTGTCTCCCTATTGAAACACACACCCATGTCTTGTAGATCGGTGAAGGTGAAGGGATTGGGGACTTATGGACCTGCCCAAACACCCACCAAACACAGGGATTCATTCAGTCTTTTTCATTTTTTTCCAACATTGTTGTGTTTCTATATCTGGGAGCTCGTGGCTAATCCTGCGTACTCAAAGTTATGTGTAGTAAAACATATATGTATGTTGTTTTGTTTTTGGATGGCTTTCGGATTTATCATGTAGGCAGGTGGGGAGAGGACAGATTGCAAAATTTTTTGTTCGAGGCAAACTTTCAACACAACTTACAGGTCGAAAAGAACCACGTGTTGACCACTTTGAAGCTTTGGTCTTTGCAGCGATCGTTCGGGTCATTGAGGGCGACATGAACAACCCATCAGCTTTTGCCGCGGGGATAAACCTCCGAGAGATGGTCCTGGAGATGACGTAGAAATTGAAAGTTCATCCTGGTGAGTGTGACACTCACTCCATGATGCTGGTAGTTTTTCCGCCACAGTCCCACCGGGAGTGACACACACCCCGTGATACAGAAGGACAACTCCGAGCATGATTTATTGGACATTTGTGGTTGCGAACATGGCAGGATCCATCTCATCAAGAGCAGATTTCGATTATGAGGACAAGCCCAATTTGGCGGTTGACTGCCATGAACAGCAACATAGCTGCCAACAAAGATAAGTAAGAAAAGCAACCAGATGGTCTCGGGTCTTTTGTGGGACCGACTTGTACACTCAATTGTTTTTTGTGGCCTTGCTCCGTTCGTAGTGATGCCCTTTGTTCCGTTCGTAGCGTCCTTGCTCCTTTAAGGCCAGGAGCTACTAACGTCCGATTCGACCATTTCCGTCCCGACGGGGACGGACGGCGGGTCCGTGACCGACGAGGCTCCCCGCCCGCGTCGCCCAGCGCCTCGCCGGCGCTGAGCGCTTCAGGGAGGAAGGCGCGGGGAAAATCGACAGAATTCGACGCGGATGGAAGAAGTTCGGATTCGCTTGTTCTTCAGGACTTCGAAGAATTTCCATGAAGATTTTTGGTGACCTCTGAGTCTTGCGACATGCTTGGGACCAATCCATCCGTGAAACACCTTGGGCCTTGGTCTCCAGGCCCGAGGCCCGGCTGGGAAGACGTGCAGGGCAGTGCGGTGCGGGAGCTCAGCCTGAGATGGAGGGAGATGGAGTGTGTATTTGTTCACAACTAACTACGAGAGGTTTGATGTCTTTTTTTGGTGCTTGGAGGATTGTTCATGTACTATTCTTTGTTGTTCCGAGTGTTGTTTTGAAGTCATCTGCAAATTCATGTGGACCAAACACTTCGGAGAGAGCGATGGCCTCCAACCTAAGAGCGATGGTCTACTACAACCTGCTAGCGATGGACTCCAACCTAGTAGCGATGGTTTCCAACCTACCGCGTTCCAAACGGTCTTTTCTCTTCCTCTTTTGAAAGCAGCACCAGTTCGCCTCGTCCGGTGGCATGGCTCAAGAGAACATCCATTTTGCAGGCGCTGCTCTTTGAGCTCTGGCGGCTCCGCTCCGCCAAGGGCGAGTTCAGTTTTCTGCGTGCCGAAACGACGCGCCTGCAGGACACTCCCAAAGTGGAAGGATCCCATGGCTGCGCGGGCAGCAATTCATCTCCGTGGCAACTATGAAGTGGGCGACATGCTCGGTGAAGGCCAGAAGCTTTGCAGCTTTTGAGGTTTTTTTTGTTTGTTTCTGTCCTCCAAGGTGCTTTGAGTGTGCTTTCGTTTCGGTCCCGTTGGGGTCTACCGAAGCCAAGCCAGGCTTCGGTGGCTTTGTCTATGCTTGCCATCGATATGGTGACCAGAAGGCCTTGGCCGCCAAGGCGCGGGTCCTGGGAAGACCATTGGATGACTCCAGGCTAGGACCATTGGACTCACTTCTTTGTGTTCGTTGTTGGGATGGAGGTCATCGCCATTAGGTTGGAGGCCATCGCTATTTGTAACTTAACATAAGTTTTTCTTTTTGGCAAAACCGCGGAAAAAGACGACACCTCCCGGGAAGGCGCTCGTCCAGTCTGCGCGGGAAAAACTGGGGCCGCACGGCGTCAGGTCTGCGCGGCGCGGCCCGGCGCCGCTGAAGAGCTGCGAAGTGAAGCGCAGCTGTTGCGCAGCCTCTGCCATAGCCACGCGGTGAGGATTAGGGATGGTGTAGATGAGTAGTAGATGGGTAGTACCGAAGGGTCCTATCAAGTGCTTTGTGTCAGTGTGTATGAAAGCACATCAAGTCTTTTCAAGCACTTAGACAGAATGAGGCGGTACAACTGTGACATACCAGGACCAGTCCAATGTAGATCTATAGTCTATAGATGTCTATAGGTTTGTAATGCGCTCATGACGCCTGGAATGGGCCAGGTACTGTTGCGATGTTGAGTTGGGCGCTTTCCGGTCGCAGCGGACGGCGCTCGCGGACGACGAAAATTCATCCCACGGACGTGAGGCTCGATTATGAAGGTCCACGACGTTTTTGATGACGGGAAGTCCGTCTACTTTGTCATGGACCGCATGCATCACGACCTCTTAGATGGACGCTCGATTTGCTGTCCGGCTGAAGCCAAGAGGACGCTGCGGTGCGGTGCCGAGAGATTGGCATGAGAACTGTGCGGTGCTGAGAGGTGCTGAAGTGATGTCGGCAGCTTTTTGGATGTTGAAAGGACTTCTTTGGGCCATTGTTTGCCGGAATTCTCCAGATTTGGTGTCGCTTCACCCTGATCTATCCTGGTACCAGAACTGGAGGGTTGCTGAAAAGGTGGGTATGTCAGAACGATAGTGTTGCGGTGGGTCATGGCCAAATCTGGGCTCCTTTGGTTGTTCAGCTAAGGATTGGAGAACTATGTGATGAGGCACGTCGGGCACGGGTTTCCCTTTCCGGCGGTCTGCACGGTTGGTGCTAGGAGGTCTTGGAGATATTCCAACCAAGTGGCTTTTAGATGCTTGAAGTAGTCCACTATCAGTCTACAAATCTTACATTACTTTCTTCTACTGTACTTCTTATTGCTATTGGGTTTGAGGCCATCGCTCGCTAGTAGGTTGGAGGCCATTGGTATTAGGTTGTTTTCAGGTCAATCCCTTATGCAGTTGGTGTTTTGTTGACTGTCGAGGAGGTGAAAATCGCTCAGTTCGTCCCGATTCTCCGTTGGTCAGGTCCCCTCGAATTCGGCTTGGATCGAAGGAAGAAACCGATTGACGATGATTGATTGGGCTTTTGCGAAGTTCTTCTTTCTTTATGTTCTCCACCTGTTTTTAACCTCATGTGAGTCACTTGGTCCGAGGTTTGAGTTTTCGGAGTTTTGAGTCCCACCTCATCCCTCAGCGTCCTCCACCTCAGGGAAGCTTCTAACCTCAATGGCCTTCGGCACGTGGTGCGACAGATGGCCGCTGCAGTGAAGTATCTCCATAGTCACTCCATCGTTCATCGCAGGGGACCCTAGAGCGTGGCCGAGCCATACTAAGATGTTTTCGCTGTGTTTTCCTTTTCGTGCAGTGTATCGAGTACACTCCCGACCCGCATTTGTGAAAGAAAGAATTGGCATTTCTTTGAACGGCAATGTGCATTGAGTACACTCCGGACCCTCTCGAGTTTTCCTTCATATGTTCTTCAATAGGCAGGCACCATTTGACCGCCTGGCGGCAGTCCCTCGACTCAAAAGTCTAGGTCGAATCGGGTAGCCCAGGTGATATCAAGCCCGAGAATTTCATGACAGACCGGGCAAGTCTGACAGCATCCCGGCGTGGTGGACAGGGCACATGGGCGTGGTGTGGGTGAGACAAGAGAGGGACTGTGGATGACCTTCTTTGGAGCAAATGATGCACCTGGTCCGTCTGAACTTGGAGGACTCGGCTGTATTGAAGTGGAAAGGATTCGGTTCTCTTTACGACTTGACGGAAGACCTGAAGATTTGTGGAGGTTTGTGGAGGTCCGCCGCTTGGGTGAACTGGGCGGACCCGATTTGGAAGACTTTTTCATTGCATGGTCCGCGGCGCGTTCGATGGCGCGTGAACAGCTTGCGCGTTCGATGGCGCGTACGTTCCGCCGAAGCAACGACGTTCCGCGGCACTCGCGCGAAGCAACTTCCGTCGAAGGACCCTGAGTGCCGCTTGGTGCTGGGTGACTTTGGTTCGGCTTGTCAAATCACGGAGCAGACGACACGTTTGGCTGAGCAGGCGACACACCTGGGGTGATAGGGATGGATAGGGATGGATAGGGATGGTGATTCGCGTGAACTTGTGAGAGATTCTTTGCACGGTGCGAGAGTTCGGGAACCTTCAGAAGTGGCTTTGACTCAAACAAAAGCGGCTTTCACGAAGACTCTTTGTTTTGCTATGGCAAGAACAGAGGGTGATTGGGGTGGGCCCATATCTGGTGGTCCATATCGGTTTCTTCTCATCCACTCTTCAGGGGCCCTCTCCACCTAAAAAACCCAGAACTGGACACCCAGAGTGGAGCCTTGCAAGTGGGACTGACAAATGCTTGCTAGTCCCCAAGTGGGAGTGAGAGCTGGTTAGTTGTTGTAAACGCAAATGGTTAGGCCCATGTGGCTAAGAATGGTTTCATCATCAGACGAGTTGGCAGCCAAGTCCTGCAAAGAAGCTGATGCGTGAGAGAGGTGTTTCATCCAACCACACCTCTTTAGGAATCTTTAAGCAATTGCTAAACCATCGCGTGAAACCAGGGCGCTGTGGGTCTGAAGGAGAGAACACACATCTTGGCACTTTGGGTCTTTCCGATTTTCCCAGAGTGGTTGAGTTGTTCTGCTTGATATATTCGTATATACAAAAAACACATCTATTACTATTTATTGTTTATACATATACATAATATAACATATTATATTGGATACGATATCCAAAAAGAGATTGCGTGGCGTGGACTCTCCTCTCTGAGACTGGGAGCGAAAACCCGGGCACCCCGTCGGGGTCCAGCGCGAACGGCGAGGTGGGGACCATGGTCTACTGGGCTCCCGAGATGTATGCCGCTGGGCATGATCTGGTGGAAAGCAAGGGGGTGTTACCCTTAAGACACAGCCCAGAGATACTGTTTGATTGGTTGGTTGAAGGGCGAGAGCACGTTTCGCTTCCTGAGAACAAGTGTCAGGTCTTTCTCAACACGGACTTACATACATTTATGTCATCCATTTGCGATAGTCTTGGGGATGTGCTCAAACAATAATTTTTACAAAAAGAAAACAAACCAAAAACAAACAAACATTTTCAGAATTAGAAAAACAAACCAAAAAAAAAACAACAAAATACAGCATTCAGAAAGGCAAAGATTGCTGTGCTACTGATGCATGGTGGCTCAGGAAGTGTAGTTACTTGGGTCCAGCTGTGCGTCAAACTGCCAATATTAGACAGATTTGGATATATGAAATACAGTATTTCAGAAGTACAAGGCCACAAGGCATTGGGGATCCTTCAAAGTAACTAGTTTCTAGCGGCTAGAAATCTAGCCGCCATGGCAGCCATGGCTTCAGCAGAATCAGGATCAGAGCCTGATTTGTCTGGCTGGGCAGCTTTGGCTGCGAAGCAAATCTCCTCTTCCCAGGAAGAGGCTGAGGAGTTGAGTGAGGCAGAGTGCTACAGAATCTGCTCTGAAGAGGAATCATCAGACAGCGTCACTGTCATTCCAGGGTCTCCGCAGACTTCAGACGTCAGCTTGCAGCATTTTAATGAAGGTTCACCGTATTAGTGTTTATATCCACTTGATGTTTTTCAACCACACCATATGCCAGATCACACCGCTACAAACAATGCTACAATCAAACCAGAATAGAAGAGTTCATGTTTGTTTGCTGATTTTAGGACTGGTACGTCTTCAAAATCAAGAGTGCTCTCCGTCATCGCGCAGCTAGGGTGAAGGGAGAGCAACCGACACGTGAACTATGCTTGGTGTCCTCCTGCACAGGGGCTTTTGCAGAAGCATGTGCTTTGAAGGCTTCGTGTTTGCGTGACACAACAGTCAAAACAATTGTTTACATTATATGCGTATGTTAAGAAAACACTCTCACCACCTGCTCACCATACTATAATTCTAATGTCATTTGATACCAAGTTTGACTCATTTCCCTTTCGTCTGAGGCTCTGGGCATTCCCTTTGTGGCAGAATCGGCCAGTGAGTGTAATGCTTG